CTGATTTTTTTTAAAGTTCTCCATATACTTAAATCCAAAAGAGCAATTTTCAGATCAGGTTTTCTCACTTTATAATTTCTGCCTTAATCTTTTTCCATCCTTTCCCATGCCTATTAGCCACTTTTATCACACCAGGACATTTACAATTGTTTTAAAAATCCTCTTTTTTTTCTTTCTGCCTATGAGTTAAATATCACTTACCTGGCATCAATATTCTGCTCAATTATCCACTCCTGCACAGTGCTTGGTCTAGTTGCCCCAGCTTACTGGCGGTCGTAATGGCCGCCACCCCCCACTGCAGAGTCAGAGAGAATTTCCTCTTACCTCCGAGGAACTTGCCTGTTCCTCTTGGTTTTCCGAGGTGCCTCTCTTTCTTCCCTGTCCCTACAGGACAGATCCAGTCCAAAATCCCCTTTGCAGCAGTTCATCAGCCCAGGATTTCATGGAGCTCATCAGAGCCCGCTAATCCCCAACTGTCTCACCGCAACACTTCCAGCTGAATTCCGCAAATATTGAGTTACATATTTCTAGCCTATCTAAATTGTATGGTGCAGTACAACAATAAAATGATTTTAGTAATAAAAACAGCTAATAAATCAAAGAAGATCTGAAAAAATACCTTTTTTTCAAATAATCAGATTGTAAATTTTTGCTAAAGTCAAATCAATATACAAATGACATAATTCTTTGGGATATTCAAAAGTCCTGGTCTTACCATCTTTTTCTGAAGAATAGTTTTGCAATGTCTAATTTCCCAATGGTAAACGTAGAAAATATTGTCTATAGCAGGGGTGTCAAACTTGATTTCATTGAAGGCTGCATCAGGTTTGTGTTTGACCTCAGGGGCCCAGGGTGGACATGGCCAGAGTGAGCATAGCCATCTCAATGTCACTCATGTTGGGGCCACCTAGGGTGGCCCGATTGCTCTGCCAGCAAAAACAGGCTCCCAAACTCTATTTTCAGCTGCAACATCCTTCTGCAACCCTCTGCCAGTGAAAATGGAGCTTGGGAGGGACACACACGGCCAGCCCGAACTCTGTTTTTGCTGAAAGAGGGACCACAGACTGGTCCTTCACTGTTTCCAGGGTGGCCCCATGGGCCAGATCTAAGCACGCCTGGGCCGGATCTGGCCAGTGGGTCTTGAGTTTGACATCTCTGTTCTATAGCATACCTTACTGCAGAGTGAACATATGGCCCTTCAAATACAATGGTGGCACATTTCTCAATAAAATATAGCAATAGAATATTAGTAGATAATGCAGTTCTTTTAGAGCCACTATTCCAAATGCTGTTCTACACAGAAAAAGAACACCATGCTAAAAATTCATTTGGCTGCCAAGAAGAAAGATTTCAATGACCTCTTAGCTTGGAACATGGTAAGCAAGAAAATACAAAGGCAGTATAGAAAATTACACATGATATGAAAAGTTTGGCAATAATTTTAACATTGCTGAGTAATCCAATAAAATTGTGAGGAATTCAGGACTGATAAATGTTCTTCTTTATATGATACTTGGTTATATTGGAATTGGTATATCTGGGGTAATAATTGCTTAAAAGAAGATTGAACAACTTCATAAAGGATAAATGGCTGTCAATGTTGATGGCTGTTAGCTCTGTCCAGAATCACAAGCAATTGTCTACATTATATAATAGGTGTTTGTGAGTAAAAATGGAAGAAACCTATCCTCATAATCACGTGGGTGACTTTTCTGAAACCATCTCAATGTGAGACACATTGGAATAGATGGGACACTGACTAGATTTAACACTGACTAGGTTACTACCCTGTTTCCCCGAAAATAAGACATCCCCTGATAATAAGCCCAATCAGGCTTTTGAGCACACGCTAAAATAAGCCTCCCCCATGAAAATAAGCCCTCCCTGAAAATATTTAAACGCAGAACTGGAAATCATGTAAGACGGCAAGAGGAGTCCCATCTTGCTCCATGTGCCCCAAAATAATAAGAACTTCCTGAAAATAAGGCCAAGCGCTTATTTCGGGGTTCAAAAAAATATAAGACAGCGTCTTATTTTCAGGGAAATGGTACTTTGTATTATGTTTATGCTTGAAATAAAATATAATTAAATGCAAGTTGTAAGATTTGTAAAATACATAATGTCAATGTTTAACTTAGTTCTGACCTGCAATTTGTATAGGATCAGGAAAGTTCACTTCAGAATATGTAAATATCAAACTGCTCACAATTCTGCACATTAGTCTCATTCATCCATTAATATCTGATAAAGCTGTCACCCCAGAAAAAAAAATCATGTTCATTTTCCTATACAGAAGTACATTACTTGCAGAATCCCCTCAATTCAACATTTATTGAAACATACTGAGCAATGAATATAACAGAATAACAGAGTTGGAAGGGACTTTGGAGGTATTCTAGTCCAACCTGCTGGTCAAGGAGGACACCCTATACCACTTCAGACAAAAGGTTGTCCAATCTTCTTAAAAATCTTAAGTGATGGAGCCCCTACAACTTCTGAAGGCAAATCATTGCACTGATTAATTGTTCTAACTGTCATGAAATTTCTCCTTAATTCTAGACTGGTTCTCTCCTTGATTTCTTCAGCAATGAAATAAAACCTGCAATTCATGACCATTTGCTTTTAAAAGGATCTTTAAAAACAAAATATTGGTTTGTTTGTTTTGGCAGAAGGAACATAGAAAACTCCAAAGAGAAAGAAATATCAAAGATGAGAAAATATTTTTACTTGCAGTGGAAACTTTTATTCACAACCAATATCTCTGCTTGTGTTGAGCAGGAAAAACCAGATTTTTTTTAACAATCTATGCAGGATGTTAATAATAAATTACATTAATGATATATATTCACAAGAGTTCATTAAGGATACTTTTAAATTCCTCATTTTACTTATCCTGTCAATAAAGTGTTTGTGTGTTTGTCTCCTAGGAAAGAGAGAGAAAGAGAGACAGAGAAACATAAAAAACCAGGAGAGCTGACAAAATGGCTTTGAAGGACAGGATATACTACCTACTAAAATAAATGTAATATAGGATCACTAAGCATCAGTTTAATTGTTAACTGATATACAGCATGTAATCCAGTCCAGATAGATGCTTTTGAGTTCATTTAAACCACAGCATGATTTTGATTGCAGGTTCACTCACAAAGTCTCATCACAATAGACCTAGCAGAGATCATTCCTTGTAAATCTTATTCTCATTCTTGAGCTAACAAAAATAATTAAAGTGACCCATAGAAGAAGAAAAAAAGCAAGACCATAAACATAGCAGACAATTCAAGTAATAGTGTAGCAGAAAGGCAGATAATTAAACAAGTTCATTTCCAGAACAAAAAAAGCAAGTCCATAAAATTGTTACCAATTCAAAACTGTTCTTAAGAGGTCTCAATATCTTCAAGCAAAAATAGATAGCTAAGTATAAGCAGAGATGAGATCCATCAGAGGTCCCTTAGATATTTCATGACATGCCTAATAATTAGTTGGCTACTTGTCCAAAACAGAAACCATTTATAATTCCAAGGAAGGACTAGACACCTGTAACTACTTATAGTTATAGGACTACTTTTAGACATCTATAACCATATAACCTTCATGATAAAATAAAAAAGTAAAATAGCCAATCAATCAATTTTTATTACGGTCACAGACAAGCAACATGAAGTAGCAGATACTCATACAATTAATCAAAGCATTTCACTCTACATTTTTGAAGTTCAATTTGAAAATCTTAAAAGAACATATGCTCTGCTAATTAAAGTTAAAGTATGATAGTGGAAAAAGAAAGTTACAAAATAACTTTTGCACATAGTAGTTTTAATATGATTATACAATACACTGGAGTCCCCAATCTCTGGACCACGGACTAGTACCAGTCTGTGGCTTGTTAGGAACTGTGTCACAGGTATTGGTGGGTGAACAAGCATAACCAACACCTTCCCACCCCCTGGTGTGTGGGAAAAATGTCTTTCAAAAAACCGGTACCTGGGTGCCACTGCCATAGACCAATGCATGTCTACTCAAGAGTAAGTGAAATCAATTAACAGCCAGCTAGGCCTTCTGAGGCATATTCTGCACATGAATTTTTGGATAACAGTTCTGAACTGTTTCAAAGCAAAATTTGAAAAAAGCCTTATGTTTCTATAGCATTCTCTTGTTAAAACATTAAGATTTAGACAGTGAAAGCTAGTCATTATATCATAAAGTTTGATTTGTATTAAAAGCCTGTTTAGAGCTGAAGAAACACAATTGGCACAATCAACTAATTGAAAGCTAATGTACTTTAATTAATTGGGGAGATTTCTGTTAGCTTTGTATACATGCAAAGCATCATTCAAATTTTGGCCTATTGAATTTACTTGTTAAAAATGACTTTAGATAACTTTTTATGCAGTGGAAGAACTATATATCTCTCTTGGTGCTGGCACTTCAGTACAGCAGCTGTTTATAAAACTGTAACCCCCAGCCATCCATGTCACCCAATAGATTCTCCTTACTAAAAGACATTTTGAGATTTAAGAGGTTATAATTTAGTTTCCAACGACTGGTTTTACATATATTTAATAGTGGAAATGCTGAATCTCTTTTGGCCTTTGCCAATTAAAATCAAACTTAGATGACTGTTCAACATTTTGTCTGCAAAGCAATTCTATTGGTTGTATGCATTTTGGTTACTTAATCAATGTCCTATATTCTAACTTTTCAACAACCCTTCACCTAAGAAATGAAGTTTTGTGGAGAATTATAGCAATTTCCAATTGTATTGATTTTAATTTTAATTTTTTTATTGAAATATCTTTGTATCTGGAGGTCAGCAACGTGCGGCTCCAGAGCCACATGTGGCTCTTTGGGCCCTCTCCTGCAGCTCCCTGTCAGATGATCCTACCACTGGCTGGCCCTGCCCCTTGCCCTCCCCTCCCACTCACTCCTCATCTGTTCTGAGAAGAGAAGGGCGACTGTGGCAGTTAGAGACTTGTTCCGTATTCCAGAGCAAGAACAAAGCACCACTCTACTTGCCTCTTTTTCCGGCCCTTGTTGGTGCTGTGCACACCTCAGCCACTGGGGGAGACACCCAACTTTTCTCCATCCTGAGACACTGGCTGGGCCAGCTACAGCTGATGCTCCATGTCATAATGGGCTCGAGGAGGAGGAGGAGGGGACACTGTCTAGCCCATTGTGAAGCATGCTAAGTTTAAGCGTGCTGCACAAGATGCTGCAAGAGCAGCGAGCAGCCATGGAGGCAACGAGAGCAGCAGTGTCAGCAGCAGCCAGCCACCCAGTGTCTCAGGGTAGAGAGAAAGTCACACATCTCCCCATATTCCTCTCGCTGCCTCCATAGCTGGGCTTTCATCAGCATGGTGTGAACTGATGACAGGCCTGTTCTGGAGAGGAATTCTGTGTCTGGCACCTTGTCCTGCCACTGGATCTTCAGAATTCTGTGGAGGTAGGTTGTGTGGAAGTGGTTCAATTGCCTAGCATGCCTCTTGAATACAGTTCAAGTATCACTGGCATACATCAGGGTAGTTAGCACTACTGCTCGGTAGACTTTGAGTTTTGTAACAAGGGTTATTCCACAGCGGTCCCACATGTTGGTCAGTAGTCTGCCAAATGCAGAGCTTGCCTTGGTGATTCTGCAGTTGACCTCAATGTCAATTGTCATTGCACAGGAGAGGGTGCTGCCAAGGTATGTAAATTGGTTCACTGCTTGCAGCTTTTGTCCCTTCACTGTGATGGTGGGCTCTTGGTGTTGGGCTCTTGGAGCTGGATGATGTATCACTTCAGCCTTCTTTATGTTGATGAGGAAGCCGAAGTTGTTGCAGGCTGCTGCAAATTTGTCACACCATCATGGAATTGACGTACCATCAGGATGAAACTATCAGGGCACCCAAACTTCAACATGATGCTCCACAAATCTTTGCAACTGACAGTGTCAAAAGCCTTAGTGAGATCCATGAAGGTGGTGTACAATTCACAATTCTGCTCTTGACACTTCTCTTAGAGCTGTCGGGCTACGAAGATCATGTCCATAGTGCCACGCTCTTTGCGGAAGCCACACTGTGTCTCAGGTAATAAACCCTGTTCCAGGTGGTCAGTCAGGTGGTTCAGCAACACTTGTGCAAGGATCTTGCCTGCGATGGAAAGCAGTGATATTCCTATATGATTATCCCAGACTTGTCGATTCCCTTTCCTTTTACAGAGGTGTACAATGGATCATCTTTCAGTTCCTGAGGAATGGATCCTTGATTCCAGAAAGATTGGAACAGGTAAGCGAGTTTGTTGACAAACACTGCAGAACGATCTTTATAAACCTCCGCTGGGATCACATCAGATCCTGGGTCCTTGCCACTGGACAGCTGGCTGATGGCCTGTAGGGTTTCAGCCTTCAGAGATAAGTGCATGAGTTAAGCTATAAGACAGTCGCAGAGCAGAAGACTTACTCTACTTTGGTCAGGCACCTGTGACGTGAAGATCTTCAGCATATTTTATTGATAACCCATATAGAATATCTATAGTGTACCTGAAGATGATAGTCCCATAAGTAAAAAGACCCAAGGGACATAGGATTTCATAGATAAAAAACAGTACCTTCAATTGAGTCCAGAAACAAACTGACAATCAAGCAGCGACCATTATGTAAATTTTACCTTATAAAAGTGCCTCATACAAAAGCAGGTGAAAGCTATATTCTTCATCAAGTGATGCTTCTGAATAATCCTAAAAAGCAGCCTCAAATAGAATGTAAAGCCAACGTGAGATGAGGAAAGTATCAAAGACTACTGTCCAGGATCACAAATGGCATATCAGATGAAATTGGGCAGAAGTTCTTTTACTTTCTATTCCTCAGAAGCTATCAATCCAGAAGAATTTCCAAGTTGTAAAGTAGTCCTTTAGGTGGAATGTTACATTTTATTTGGAAATGGAACAATATTTGGGATCAAAAGTCATAATATTGCTTTATTTTAAATACAATTAAACATAGGAAATAATTAAAGTGGTTAAATGCATTCAGGTCATAACTGAGTATTGAAAACTCATTGTGAGAATTTGGGACATGCAGTATCTCTAAGCTAATCATACTTTTTAGGAAATAATATAAGGAATATATTATTAGTACTATAGTATTATTTGCCTTCAGTGTTGATGAAAAAGTAGGAGAGAAAACAAAGTACATCGTATTTCACAACACTTTTAGTTGTGTTCACTCGTATGTAAGCAACTTGAGTTGGAACTATTGTGGATGTTGAATAAGTTATCTAATATTTTCAGACTGAAACAGTTGAATAACTGTAAAACAAGTATTCTATACATATTTTGCTGTTTCCTCCTGAATGATCAGTTTTTGTCTATAATTCAGTTTGTCAGTCATAGCTTACTGTATATACAAGGTAGATTGATCAGTTTTTCTAAAAATGCCCAAGCTGCTATATAATGCCTATTCTTTAAATTTCACATTCACATCATTTAGCTAGTTTGGGCAATTATAAAATACATCAACATAGATGTGTTCTGTTGCATTAAGCTATCTAAAAGCAGGATGTTAGGAGTTAGTTTTAATGGCATATGACAAAATTGGTTATCTTTGTAGATAAGGACTCCAGGTAACTTTGATAGAAAAGGATTGGTTGATATGTTCACTACTCCACTGACAGAAAAGCATACCCACAGAAATTACTTTTATGACTTGTTTTATTTTAAAAATTGGCTTAGTATAAATATTTCCATTATAATATCTTCTAAAAGCAACAAAAGTGCCAAAATAGAATATTTATGATCTCCTATCATAAATTACATCTCCTAAGTGCTCATTTAATTACTTCTAAACTGAAAAACATTGCCCAAAATATTTTTAAGAGAATGAGTATTAAGTAAAGAAATAAAATTTCAGTATTGTAGTAAATTCAGTAAATTTTCAGTATTGCATTGTTGCTGAACAAGGAAGATCAACATGTGACTGAGAAAAGTTCCACATTCTTAAGGCATAAGCTATTTGACATATTGAAACAGATTTCCAAAATTTTGCAAGCATCCATTAGGTTATATATTTAAAAGGATTTTTCCCAGATGCATTATGTCTTAACTGTATTCATTCATCATGACTGAATATTGAGTATGTACATGCATCTCTTCCTCTCAATAACAAGAATAAAACAGGACTGCATTGTTAAGTTCAACTTCAGAGGTTTCTGTTTCTGAAACCTGGTTTCTGTTATGTGAAGATTAGATAATAATATATTATCTAATCTTCACACAAGAAACAAGTTTAGCTCAGTAACAGTTGCAAAAATTCTGAAATGCCTTCTCTATGGTAATCCTCCAGAATCCTCTTCTCTATTAAATCCGTCAGTCCCATGAGGTTTGGCAGGAGAGACATGCTGCGCACCCTGTTTGAAAAGACTTTCAACTGATGGGAATCTAGGAGTGAACCTTTTCTGGCATATAGCCATCCTCTGAAACATCATCCCTCCTGAGGTGAGATTCATTCCAAACCTCAGGTTTTTCAGAAAGCCTCAAAACATGCCCACCCCCCCAGCAAGCTTGGAGATACCTTGCTTATAGGGACCAAGCACATTGGTTGCATTTGTAACATTTTATTTCTCATGGTCTGGTTCATTTATTCTTATTGTTGTTGCCCTGCAATAGTTAAAGTGCAGTATTGCAGGCAAACTGCCCACAGCCTGGAGTTCAATCCTGAGGAAGCTCAAGGTGGACTCAGCCTTCCATCCTTCCCAGGTCAATACAATGAGGACCCAGATTTTTTGGGACAATATGCAAATAATAGTCTACATTGTAATCACCCAGAGGGCGCTGTAAAGCACTTGGGGTGGTATATAAGTCTATTTTAATGTGTTTTTTAAATATATAATAATTCCTGATTTTATTATACACTGCCAGAGTTACTTTATAGGAGATGGGTGGACATATAAATTTGACAAATGTATAAAATACTATTACCCTGTTTCCCCCAAAATAAGACATCCCCTGATAATAAGTCCAATCGGGCTTTTGAGCACATGGCAGTAAGGCTAAGTGCTTATTTTAGGGTTCAAAAAAATATAAGACAGGGTCTTATTTTCGGGGAAACACGGTATTAAATATTTACCATGTTTTTTTTTTAACTTTTCAATTCTATTCTGGTTTTTACACTGAGTTTTGTTTTAGAAATTCTCCCCCCTCCCCTCCCCTTTGCTTTGATTCTTTTATTTTAAGATCATCTTTGGATTCTATTAATTTTATTAAGAATAGCAATAGTACTTAGACTTATATACTGCTTCATAGTGCCTTACAGCACTCTCTAAGTGGTTTACAAAGTCAGCATATTGACTCCAACTATCTGGGTCCTCATTTTACTGACCTCAGAAGGATGGAAGGCTGAGTCAACCCTGAGCTGGTCAGGATCGAACTCTAGTAGCGAGCTGAATTAGCCTCCAATACTGCATTCTAACTGCATCACCCCAGTTCAGTAGAATAGAATAACTCTATTGAAGAATATGGGTAGCCCTCGATTTACAACAGTTCATTTAGTGACTGTTCAAAATTACAACAGCACTGAAAAAATGATTTATGACCATTTTCCACACTTATGGTCATTGCAGCATGCCCATGGTCATGTGATTTATATTCATATGCTTGTCAACTGACTCACATTTATGATAGTTGCAATGTCCCTGAGTGTGTAATCTCCTTTTATTACTTTCTGACAAGCAAAGTCAATGGGAAAACCATTGATTGCTATGATTCACGATCATGTTACTAATTTAAGAACTGCAACGATTCAGTTAACAAATGTGGTGAGAAAAGTCATAAAATGGGATAAAACTCACTTAACAATTTTTTCTTAGCAATATAAATTTTGGGCTCGATTGTGGTTATAAGTTGAGGACTACCTGTATAGCATGCAGAACTAAACATTGTGGCATTCCATTCAATATAACTCTCCAGTTTGATAAGAATCACTCTTACAGAAACTTCCGGTGGCTCCGCAGGCATCAGCGGTCGCTCCTTTGGGAGCGCTAGCCCCGTGATTTCGTTAAGCCGCTAGAACAGCGAAAATCAGCTGTCTAGCGGCTTGGAAACTTTCTCCTTGGGAAAAGGGGGGAAAGAGAGCAGCTGGGTGCGGATAGAGCTCCCCAAGAGCTCCAGGAACAATCCTGGAGCTCGAAGGGTGAGAGCTCCCCGGGAACCTGGTAGAGCTCCGAATCCGGGACGTGACTGCTTTATGCAGAATAAGACGCCGCGACCATCCCTGCAAGCAACTTCTTAACAATATTTGGATTAAAAGCAGGCAGAGCAAAGACAGGAGACATTATAACTGCAAGTACCAAACTTTAACTCCAGCTGAATATTGTTTCTTTCTGGGTCTGATGAGAATGGGAAAAAGTTGAAAGAAAATGGCGCTGGCTTGTTAAGGGCGTGGAAAGCTAAAGTTAAAGAAGAAAGTGCTTGTTAACTCGTTAAAGCTGTCAGCCCCGTTTAATGGACATTGTTTTAAAGAATTAAGACTCTGGGACTAAAAGAATAAAGTATTGACTTACTAATAAGCCATATTATTGGTTAAAGATCAAGATTAAAATATTTACTGACTTACTGGGCTGGTTGTTGAAAATTACAATTTGGGAATGGCTTCAAAGCAGACAAAAACAGGCATTACAAAAAGTGCTGGAAGTTCTCCTGCTCAAACCCCTAAATTGCAGTCTTTGTTGGCCCCAGTGGATACACAAGCACAAGCACAAATGCAAACACAAGTATTGACACTGGAGGCTCTCCAAGGTGCCTTAAAGGTACAAGCTTCTGAATTACAAGAAAAAAATCACATCTGTATTTAAAGATGTCTCTGAGGAAATGGCAGCAATTAAGGACCTAATCCAAACCAGTAATCAAGAAATAAGAGAAGACATTGTGGAAGCATTTCAGGGTTTGGTGGGTCTTGTTACATCGTTGGAGGAAAAGGTTGAAGAAATTAATCAATCTAATGTGAATTTGGAGGTTTAAGTGGATGAAGCTCAAATCAAGATCGACAAGACAGAGGCAGAACTTACAATGATACGATATAGGGCGATGGAATTTGCTTTGAGGATAAGAGGCTTGAAAGAAAATAATCAGGAAAATTTGAAAGAGATTTTTGTAGAAGCTCTTGCACAGTTAACTGGAGAGTCCAAAGCAGAGTGTGACTGGCAAATTGATTAAATTTATCGGGTTAACTCATGGATTGCCAGGCAAAGACAACTACCAAGAGATATTGTGATCTACTTTGTTACCAGGAAGATAAGAAATGGGATCTTATAAGCTTCTTACAAAAACAAACTACAAGTGACAGGACAGGAGGTTGCAGTATTCAAGGAAATTCCCCCTAAAATGTTGAGAGCTAAAAAAGACTATGCATTTCTAGTGGATGAATTGAGAAATCGTCAGATACAGTATAGATGGGAGGTTCCAGCCGGATTAGTGGTGAATTATTCAGGAGAACAATATCGTGTCAATACAATTTGGAAGGCAAGAGATTTTTATGTCAATGTACTAAAGGCTGGATACCCACCATCTCCAGGAGCCAGAAAAAGAAAAGAAGCAGGAGACGCTAGAAAGGAAGGCTTGCAAGCACAAGCCCAGGGAGGGGCTTGGAGTACCCAAGAAGAATTAGTGCAACTTTCAGGGGCTATGCAAGCCTTGGAGCTATTTGAAAAAACAGAAGAAGCCCAAGAACAAAGACAAACATGAACAGCAACTAAACGAAAGGAACAAGAATTAAAGATGCAACAAACCCAGATAACAACCCAAGGAAGTACAAACATGAACACAGAAGCTGTGGGGTGGGGGGGAAAGACCGAAGAAAGTTGGTAAGGCCCCTGGTACAGACAGATTGACAGTGGCTTATTACAAAAATTTACAATTGGAAATGGTAGAACCCCTTAGGGAATTATTCACTAGAATACAATTGGGAGGAGGGGTACCACCATCTTGGAGAACAGCCTTTATTTCTCTGATTCTGAAGGAAGATCAAGACCATACCCAGCCAAAAAATTATAGGCCTTAATAGAGACTATGAGATTTTTGCTAAAATATTAGCAAATAGGTTAATGTCAGTTATGCAACAAATGATCCATAATGATCAATCTGGTTTTATACATGGGAGACAAATGAAAAATAATGTAAGGCAAATTGTTAATATATTGGAGTATTTGGAAAGGAACAACCAAGTCCCTGCGGTGCTTATATTTTTGGATGCAGAAAAAGCGTTTGATTGATTGAACTGGCAATTTTTATTGAAAATGGTGCAGAAGTTGCAGTTTGGAGAATGTTTTACAAAATCTATTAAGGCAATATATCAGGAACAGACAGCGCAAATAATAATTAATGGTAGTTTAACAGAACTTTTAAAATAGAAAAAGGAACAAGACAGGGTTGTCCCCTGTCCCCATTACTGTTTATTTTAATATTGGAATTATTGTTGAACAAAATACGTGAGTCTGATAAGATACGGGGAATTAAGATTAGGCATCATGACTATAGATTACGAGCATTTGCAGACGACTTGGTTGTAACCTTAACTCATCCAGTGAAATCAGCTACAGGTTTAATGGAGATAATTAATCAGTATGGTCAAGTATCTGGGTTTAAAATAAACATTGGGAAAACAAAAATGATAACTAAAAATAAGACAATAAATCAAAAAGAAGAATTAGAAAGAGTAACAGGATGTGAGATAGTTAAAAAGGTTAAATATTTAGGAGTTTATATTACAACTTCAAATGGGAAATTATATAAGTATAATTATGAATTGTTATGGCATAAAATACAGACAGAGATGGATAATTGGAAAAAATTACAACTATCTTTGTTGGGTAGAATAGCAATAGTAAAAATGAATGTTTTGCCTAAGTTTTTATTCCTTTTTCAAATGATACCAATACTTAAAAAGACTGCGAACTTGGAAGAATGGCAGAAGGGCATTAATAATTTTGTTTGGGCAGGGAAGGGTTAAATTAAAAATAATGCAAGACATACGTGAAAGAGGAGGTTTGAAAATGCCCAACTTAAAATTATACTATGAAGCAGCTGTTTTATCAGCAATTAGTGATTAGATTAATTTAACAAATGAAAGAATATTGAATATAGAAGGATATGATTTGGTTTACGGCTGGCATGCTTACTTAGTGTATGACAAGAAGGATGATAGGACTTTTAAAAGTCATATATTAAGGAATGCTTTATTGCGTGTCTGGAAGAAATATAAATATAAATTAAATGACAAGATACCTATATGGACAGTACCCAGACACGCAATAGAGAATATAAGTATAGAACAAAGACAGGATGTAATTACATATAAAGAAATTTGATAAAACAAATTAGAGACCAGAGTCAAATGCATATAAAAAGGTTGTATAATATATTGATAGAAACAGACTCGGAAACAGAGTTAGTTAAGGATTGTATGATAAAATGGGCACAAAACTGTGAACAACCAATAATGATGGAAACATGGGAAAAGATATGGGTAAGAAATGTAAAATTTACACAAGCGCAAAACTTGAGAGAAAACTTTTACAAAATGTTTTATAGATGGCATCTAGATCCTAAAAAGTTAGCTTGTATGTATCCGAATTTACAATCTAAATGTTGGAGATGTGATTGTGATGACGCTACTTATTTTCATGTATGGTAGACTTGTAAAAAGGTTAAAGCATTCTGGATAAAAATTTGGTGGATTATTCAAAATATTCTTAAAAAGAGGATAAAGTTTACTCCACAGTTATTTTTGTTGGGTATAATCATGGATTGTACGGTTATAGAGACTAATTTGATCCTGAATTTAATAACTGCAGCAAGATTGTTGGTGGCGCAGTATTGGAAGAAGGAAGATTTGCCTACTATTCAAGAATGGATATTAAAAGTAACAAACTTAGCAGAGATGGCAAAGATCTCAGCGTATTTGAAGGACTATTCAAATGAGAAATATATGATAGAATGGAGAAGATGGATAGATTATATTCAAAGTAAATATCGGACTAAAAAAATTCAAATAGCTTACGAATAGATAGAGAGATGTTATTATGTATTCAAATTTAGTTTGGTAAATGCGGAGTTAAAGTCATACCACCCACCCCATACTTAGCCAGCTTCCAGTCAGACTATCAGTGTGCCTTGTCAAATGATTGCTTAAATAAAAACATGGTATATCCACAGACTTGCCAGACTCAGTTAAGAGAATTACTCAATCAAGAAACAAGACAAAGTTACTCTGACAAGATTTATTTTTGAGAAATCTGTGCTGACTTACAACAATTATCCTTCGTTTTCAAGATGCTTAAGCAGCAATCTCTTTATGATTTTTAGTACGTCTTAACATTAATGCATGAAATTTAGCAGACCATTAGCTAGTCCTTCAGTACCATATTAACCTATTAAATTTCTATCACTAGAAAATTGAATTAATTCAAGTAAAAAGATATTCCCTAATTTTGTTTCTGCTAGTCTAAAGATTCAGCCCTTGTCTTTTGGTGATATAGAAATGAAATAAATACATTTCATGATGGCACACCTTTTATTTTTGAAGAAAGAAGAGTAGCTACTGGCTTGCCTTCTTTTTTCAGTTATTTTTCAGTTATTTTGTCCTTATCCATATTTTTCTCCTTTCTTTTATTTTGACTATAGCTAAAGGACACATTTTGTTTCATTTTGTTTATTCTGTGCTTTCTTATTCTTAACTACAGTACTGGATGCGTATGTATTTTTGCTAGTGAACTGACCATCTTTCTGCCTTCTAATTTGTCTCCTTTTTCAATTTTTCACAAAGGTCTTATATAGCTATTTGTCCCTCTATGGTCAGCTGTTTTTGCAAATATAGACCCCCAAACAGATGCAAAAGAAAATCACAATCTTGACTATGGGTGGTGGTATTCCATTTAGAGGAATTGCTGTAGTTTGGAGTTCACATGGAAGAATTGATACATATTTTATGTTAAGCAGATAAATTTGCACCGGGTATACTTAAAGGCATTTGGTAACAGTTTCTAAACTGTAAAAAATAAAAATAAAAAAAAGGAAAACAAAACCCCAGACTTTCTTTTTAATAATGATTATTCACATAACTGTTTAGCTTATACGTAATATTTACTTTAATCTATTCCAGTGCCAATAAATGGATTCCAGAAGTGCCTATGCACATTTCATGCATAAAAGTATTATTAGAGTTGTACAAAACATTCTGAAAGATACCTTCCTGGTGGCATTCCTGTGGATGAAGTGCTTTTCTAAAGCTTCTCCTTGAAGCACCAAAGTATTCATGGTACAATCCACTCTGAGAGCTTCCAAACTCATCTGTTATGAGACTGATGGTGAAACTAGTTGATCTTTTAAATGGTTTGCACACTTCTACTTATTAGGAGTCATAAGTATGGTTAAAGTTATATTCTGGATTTCTTTCAATGAACTTAAACTTTATGGCTTCATGTCCCATTTGTATCTTCACCACATGCTACACAGGTAAATGTATTTGCTTATTTGATTCAAATAAGATAAAGAAAAGCACAGTGAAATAAACAAATAGGAAATATAGGTAAGCAACATGAAAATATATACAATATACAGTATGCCAAAGATATCCAGGAAATAATGCCATCTACCCTGCCTCAAAGTCTGACAGAATTATTTATTCTATTCTCTACTTTTCTATCTATTTTTCATCTCTGTCTGTTTGTCTGTCTGTCTGTCTGTCTGTCTCCCTCCCCTCCTCCCTCTCTATCATTTAAGAGCAGAGAGGCTGAAATGTTATACATGTGATAGTTCTGGCAACCTCTAACGTTGGAGCACTCACAACTTCTGAGATAATTGTTTACAATTAGAAGATGTCTCCAGTGTATAGAATAAAGTATAGACAGATCTAACACAACATTATTGAAGCTCTCGGGGAGGGGAGCCATATAATAAACTCTATAATCATTTATAGGTTTAGTTTTGAAGAATAGCAATGTCTAATTTCTTTTGATTCTTGTCAATGGGTCCAGTGAAAGTTATATTATGACACAGAAAAATAAATTATTTTTTCTTCCCAATATTTCTGCTGCAGACATTTTTATCTGAGCAGAATTTTCTTCTGACAAATAGATGCAGAAATGAAATAACCAGACATCCAACTTCTACTCTGTCATCATTGGATAGTTCCATAAAAAAAGGCATTTTAGATATTAGGATTGAGATCTGTCTAAATGGCCGTTATCTACTTTTGACAAGGGCTGATTAATTTAATAATGTTTAACATTCATTTCAAATAATTTGTTTTGTTATTTTGTACAATTTATATGACCACCAAAGAATTCCAGTTTGAGAATACAGATTGCTGACTTCAGGAAAATTTGAGGTATAGCCTTGCCTTTGTAAATGTTGCTTGTTAACTACACTATTTCTATGTCAATAAAGATTTGGTATTTCAAGAAAAACACATTTAGAATTTAGCTCTAAAATATTCCATTATGTCTACCTCAATGCTTTTCATTTCTAAGACTAGCGATATTAGGTTCATAATATTTTACTGACAGGTCAATGAGTTAGGTTCAGCATAATGTGAACAATATGGGCTCATAGTGAAATTACATATAGGAATGCCACAGTTCAGAATGATATATGTCTGTAGACCCCAATATTACTTTCTTCATGATACCATCAGTTGAAAGTACAAGTATTAACTGATTGTGTCAACTAATATAGTAAATGTAGTACTACTCATTTATAGATGTGGTTATCAATATTTTGACAAATATTTGACAGATTCAGTTTTAATTGACCAAGGTTATTATGTAACAATAAAATGGTATTTTAGAGAAAATTTGGACTGACTATAAGGACATGTCTACAGAGATTCTCAGTCATCCAGGTCATGGTTGTCCTAAAGCGAAACCTCTTCGAAGAAAAACCAGAAAGTCCAGTTTCAAGAGGCAACTGGATTTTCTGGATTTTCTTCAAAGAGGTTTCACTTCTCATCCAAGACGCTTCTTCAGCTCTGAGTAAATCACTGAAGAAGCTTCTAGGATGAGAAGTGAAACCTCTTCAAAGAAAAACCAGAAACTCCAGTTGCCTTTTGAAAAAGCAGCTTCGGGACGACTATAAGGACACAACAATTTAATAATACAAAAAGTTCTACATAAGATACAAATTATATCTTAAATATCAGGCAAGGAATAGTTTTGAATGATACAATATCATATAATGCATTTATGTTAATCCAGATATCTTATGGCATTAAACACTATTGTTCCGCAATGCAGATTATGTATCTTGGTGCATACAGATTTTTATCAGTTTAGAAAGAAAATCCAGTTAGGCTCAGCATAATGTGGATTCTGGATTCAAGTCTCATGTTTGTTCAATTACTGTGACAATTATAAAACCAATAACTAGGTAAGTTTTTTCTAAATTATACTTTTATTTATGGATTTTGAAAAATTATCAGAAATTATGCACCTAGAATAATTCTTTATTACAAAATTCTAATTTAACTTCTTTAATTTGTTCTTCTAATGGAATGTTGAGAAATACCAGTGACCTTAAAAAAAATCCCAATAGCCAGATTAAAGAGATTTTTGAAGGTGGTAAAGTATTCAAAAACTGTATTCTCCCTTTCCTGCAATAGAGAAGATACTTATGCTCAGAACAAGTACCTGAAATGGCTGCTTTCATTCTTTCAACCACATTTCCTTATCAGTCTCTGATTCAAAATGTACTCTGAAAACAGTCCAAAGAAAATAACACATGCAAAGTAAAAGTTCAAGACTCTTTCATACTTTCCTTCTTTGTCTAACTACGGAGTATAAATCTCAACCCCTAAAAAATTTCTGCTGAAAATATAAAGTTTACAACTTGATGTAAACGCTATTTATATCAGAATATATATAACAGTTATGCTTTTATATCTCCACTAGATAGATCTTCCGCAAGCAAATCATATATACTTGAAAGGTGGCATCCTTGCTTTTAAGGTAACAACCATTGTAAGATCAAACAGAGAAAAACTTTTTGCCCACATATTCATATTCTCAACAAATCTAAGATAATTCCTCCATTTTTAAGATGAGTTGGGGGGAAAATAACCTTTTTCTTGGATGCAATATAATTAGTCCCTTTTTGCAAACTATCTGGTCAGATAACAGATAACAAACTTTTAAGATGAAACAAGTAGGAAGAAAATAACTATGATAAACAACTGCAAATGTGCACATATGAGTTCTGTACTTCAGGGTGTTACTGATTTTTCATTCATATCTGGAGTAGAGATCTATTCTAAAATGTAATATTCTTTGCAAAATTTGTAAAGTTGAACGACTTTTATTTGGAAGGTATTTCCAGGCATTTTAATGTTGTGGGATTATTTTTTTCAACATCAGAAATATTAAAAGCTTCATTACTTTTCTACATTTTCTTCTTGTCCACAGCAAAGGAGTAAAAATCCTTTATATTTAAATGAAAGGAAATGCAGTTAAATTGCTTAACTTGGGCTTGTTTGTTTATTTATTTAAGTTAAGATGTTAAATTATGACACATGTTGTAATGTTGGCATGCACAGCTTTATTTACTCTAAATTTTATGCACTCAGGAGATTTTGCAGTTATTTCTGAACTTCCTGTCACATAATATGTTATGTAGTTTTTAAAATAAAACTGATAAGATTTTCAAACCAATCAGTCATGCAAATTAGAATTATTCATTATTAATTGATTACCTGGCAACTATTTAGGGCAACATCTTTCCCACATCTGTCAAAAACCTTTAGAACATATTTGATTCCATACATAAAATAAAATGCAGCAAGATCTTCAGAAGAACGTATTGCAGTATCCAAACTCAGGATAATTTCATTTTTGCACAAGTTTATCTGTTTCAGAACAAAGGAACTTGACACCTTGTGATTAGCCAAGAGTTGTTAGTAAATATGGTCAAAAGAAAATGAAAAGCTGACGGTCCATAATACAAGCCTCCCGTGTAACAAAGGGTGAAGTTGAATACAAGCACGGATGAGAATGGGGGTGGCTGGGAGGAAGGATACCCCACCTCATTTCGCTTGAAAAATAAAGGACAGAGAAATGAGTCTTGCTGGCAGACAGATAACTTGCAGGCCCTGACCCTTCGACTCACCAGGAATTCAAACACAAAGCTCTTTTCATAGTGACTGTCTTATACATTCTCAGATAAGGCAGCACATAAGAGCAAGCAAAGGAATTTCCAAAACAGAGGCTATTGTGGACACTGTTGCAATAGATGGTTGTTTCTTTTCTCACTGTCCCTGTTGACGGCACACCTGGGAGTGTTTATATGCAGATATGCCACCTCCTTCTTTGGATCAGTTTAAATAACTATGTGGTTTTTCATTCAGGAATCGTTAACCCTCGCAGTGATGTGCATGGAAGGCAGTAGACAAACATGACAGAGAGGAGGGAGTCTGGAATCAACTCTCTGATCAAGATTATTCTCTCATCCCATCAAAAATAAATAAATATCAACATGCACATAAAGAAAACTGGCCATATTTATACCCAAATTTCAAATCTGGACTCACCATCAGAAAGAAAGCAACAGTTGCCTGAAGTTTGTGGTAATTTTTGTCTTGCTCCACTGCACTTTTTTCCCCCAAGGCTGTCCGGAGCTTACAGCTCAGAGATGCCACATAGAGGCCCTTTATGTGATACGGCTTATTTGCCTGTCAGCCTGAAAACAAGTTTCTGCACTGAGCAATAGTCCATTTTGGTGAACTCTGAGTAGCATATCCACAAAACTCCTGTAATTGTCTAGAACAGCAGCTGGCTCTTGGCAACTCACCGCACCCTGGATTCACTTTTCCGTTGCACTGAGAAAAGCTTTAAGCTGTTCGCCTCCTCCTGGTTTAAAAGTTTAGTTAGTGGTGGGTGGAGAGAGGATTCAGTTCAGAAAGGAAACTGCGCATAATCAGAACTTGGAGAGCTTCCTCTGTTCCTCTCTCCTCCCCCCTTCCCAACTAAGCTAAGCAGCCACTGCTCCTTCATAGAATTTAGGAATGTAAAGGGAGGACTCGAAAGAGGCCCAGTCAGACAAACCTTTCTCAATCAATTAGCTTGCAACCATTACTTGTGACCTAAGGTCACGCAGCATAAGTGTGTGGGGTGTGCCTTGAGGAGCACCAAAGCTGCTTATTAAAACTTACATAACCTAAAGTGTGCTAAAAAGAAAAAGAAAATCAAATGAAACACAATTTGGAAATGGAGGAAAGACGGAAAAAAACATTTGCTAATATTAGTCTAATACAGGAAATGATTAGATGGTTTTGGGACAACTAAGTGAATATAGAGTTTAGGGATCCAAATGTTTCTATGGATTTTATTATTCTTTTAAAATGTCCATTTTATTTTGGGGGGCATTGGTAAGGCTAATCAGTGTTTATAGGGTATGTTCTATGTTAAGAAACAGCTGGGTATTGGTTCTGAATTTGATTTTATTACTTATCAGATCAGTTTTATTCTTTTTGTAAGACTATTTTCAATTACAGTTTCTCCATTATGTATTATCTTAAACATTTCAGCTTAAAAGCAATTGCATCCACAATACAGGCAGTATAATTTTAGGCTAAGAATACATGTTTTCCATTCCAATACCCTGCCATACTGATTATGGAACAAATACAGCACTTAAGAACTCTAATGTAGCTTGTGATCCTAATATAGTTCAAAAGCAATGGTTTCCACATTTTAACAACACCCTGGTGTGAAAAGATGATTTCAAAATGAATTTCAACTTAATATGTTGTCAGAAAAGAAGCAGGGAACTGTAGCACTGAAAAAGTAAAAAAAAAATGGCCTGTTTTCTAAAGAAGATATTACTGTATCATGGGAATCATATCAGCGGTGAAATCCAGCCGGATCTATCCGGCTCACGCAAACAGGTAGGGCCAATGGCAGGGTGCTCTGCCCACCCATCAGGAAGTCATTACATCCCATTTTTGACCTTCTGAGCATGCGCAGAAGAGGTCACACACTCACATTTCCGAACTGGTAGTGAAGGTAAGTGCATTTTACCGCTGAATCATATGTCTTTATCTCAGTCCAAGAATAAACTTTAATTGAACAGACCAAACTAAAGAGGGGCAAATGCAAGATGTGGGATGAAGAAAAAAGAAATATCACATGGGAAAGAAAAAAAAGAAATATCACAATGGTAATGTATAAATGTAACCCCTTTGCTAATATATTAAAATCATTTCTGTGCATCATCTTGTTTTTGGAGTAGGATTAACATATCCTGGAATCATGGCATGAACCTAGCAATATTTTTCCATAATTTAACAAAATACTTAATTTGAGTCTATTTATCTACAACTTGAAGTTTCCGCTGTAGGTCTTCGTACCTTGTGATTAAAGTTTTGCATACATGTCCCCTAAGATTTTTCAGGGTCTGACCATTATTTTTAAATTCTCTAAGAATATTAAGGGAGGAGTGGATGCCAAAAATATAACTCATAGAGAACAAATTTCTGCATATCATTGTTTAACAACCTAAAATATTTTTGTTGTATGATACTATGTGGAGCAACTTATATCAATTTCATTCAGCTTGGCATATACTCAGGTTTCAAAGTGTGCTATCGACTCTTTTTTATCATATGAACTGAAAATTGCAAAAGAAGCATTCATTTTTATACATCTCCTAAAATTTGCCTTTTGCATACAATTTCTAAAACATATTTTCTAAAACATATAGACAATCATAAAAGATACAATAGAACAGAAAACATACAATAATAAGGCTGGAAGGGACGTTGGAGGGCTTCCAGTCCTACTCAAGCAGGAGACTGTTTACTATTATGTAAAAATGGTTGTCCAGTCTTTTCTTTAAAACTCCAGTGATGAACACCCACAACTTCAGGAAGTAAGTTATTCCACTGATTAATTGTTGTCATTGTCAAGAAACTTCTTCTTCGTTCTAAGTTGGACTGATTTTCAATCATCTTCCATTCCACCCATTACTTCTTATCCTGTCTTCAGAGTTTTGAAGAATATGTTATCTCCTTCTTCTCTGTGACAGACTGCTATCATATCACCCCAGTCCTTCTCTTCATTAGACTAGATAAACCTAGTTCCATCAATCATTCATGATATGATTAACCTCCAGCCCCTTATCACTTTTGTTCCTCTGCATTTTTTGTAGAGTCTCAACATTTTTTTTTTGTATCATGGTGATCAGAACTGGACACAGTATTCCAAGTGTGATCTCACATTGCAGCATAAAATGATACTACTATTTAATGTGATCTTGAAAGCATTTCTCTATTGATTCAATTTAGAACTGCAGCAAGTTTTTTGGCAGCTGCTGCACACTGCTGGCTCATGTTAAAGTAGTGGACTAGTAGCACACCTAGTTCTCTTTCATAGTTGCTACTATTGAGCCACATACTACCTACACTATATCTGTGCATTTAGTTTTTTTTGGGGGGGGGGTACATGTGTGTATGTACATATATACATAGAATATATGTATATTCTAGAAAAACATATTGGTAGCATACTTAACACACCTGGAAGTGCAAATTACTTAAAATGTAGATTTGACAAGATTTTTCAACATCTCTAACTGTAGATTTAAAAGGAAGAAGGTAATAGTTTTAAATGGAGAAAAGAATGAGAATGTAATTCTAATCAAGTTTGTCATGAAATAAGCCCAACCAAATACAATGGGATTGATTGCCAATTAAACATTTACTTGATTGTACTCTAATTCTATCTCATCAAAGTTTGAACCATTCAAGAGCATATTTTCAAAAATTTCCTCATTTTGTCAGAAAAACACAGTTAAAGGGTAGAATACAGTTTTTCACAACAAGATTATTTATAAGGACAATAAGATGTATAAGGACAAAAAGTAAGTAAAATAAAATATTATTAAACTTGATTTACTAACTAGATTTTATGCTGTCATCCTAGTTCTATTGGTATCCCTATTTCATTGGAGTTACTTTCCCAAGGAATTGTATTTAATGTAGGAGGGGGATAGGAGAGTAGGAAAGAGAACAAGCTAAACCGTTGGGTAATCAAGGAGTCCACAAGTCACATTACACAATATCTGCCTTTTGGATATGGAATATTGACATTTGAATTAATAAGTTTTGTGTCCAAGATAAAATGGATGGAAATTTATCATGGCAACTCATCATAACAGAAGCTGCTTGTTATTTCATATAGCAAATTTCACAATTTGATTGACATAGTTGAAACTTGGACAAATAATAGTAATAAGGGATTTTTAAAAATTCATAGGCATTAATATTTTTTCATATTAATAAGATCTACTGCTGTTACAAGCAGTGTTTGTTTTGCTTTTCTCTTATAACAAATTTGAAAAATTGTGATTTAGGAGACTTAACACATACCAATATGCACAAAATGGAAATAAGCATATTGTTCATGTCTACCATATGCAGTAACTGCTATAAAGGAATTTTTCTCTGAAGACAATATAACTCACCAAATAAAATTATACATTGTAATAAATTCAGCCCATATTGGTGTGTTTCCATTCCATTTTGTTTTGCTTTTAGCTGTTTTTTTAATATTTTTCCTAATTTTGTCTACCACCTTGAGTCCACTTGAATTGGGCAGCCAATATATTTTAATACATAAATATTCTGATTTTAAAATGTTATAAAATCAAAATATAAATTCCATGCATACTTAAATCCATATTTTGGATGGGTGTTAAATTATAGTCTATCAATAGTTTCTAGTTTCAGTTGTGCCAGATTTATTTTTAAGTTACAAAGTACTTTAGACATCAAAGCATACTCCCACAACTTAGTTAGCCATTCTTAGGTTAAGAGGATCAGATAAATTTTCTAGTAAGAAGCATATAGTATTCAATTGTAATTTGTAAATTTAAATCAGTATACTTTGAAGGCATACATACTTCAGTAAAATTTAATAAAAAATATAATAGGTTGAAAAGAATTCAATTTTATGATTTATTTCATTCTAATATGAACATCATTCCACCAGACTGCTGAACTTGTCACATGTCATTGTCACCAAATAGGAAAGAATAATCTAATCTGCTACTTACATTTCTATGCATGTAATGTCCATTTTAGCAATCAAAACTAGACTAACATAACAATGACAAAGTATCTTCTATCATTTTTTTTCTGGAGTTAAATTTTTTTCTTCTACTGAAATACCCATAAAAGAATCTGTATTATTGCATTCAAATTATTTATCCATTTAACCTTACAGTACAATATCTGACCTGTTTGGATTCTAACTGCATCAGGAGTCTGTAAATAAGGCTATACATCAGTGATGGCTAACCTTTCCTGGACCAAGTACCCAACCCCCAAAATACAATGTGCACATGGCCCACACATGCGCCCCGCCCCTGCACATGCACATGCATCCACCCGCATGCGCCCTGCGCATGCATGCATGGCCCCCATATGCACCCTGCCCCCACAAATAAAACTATGTGCATATGTCTATTAAGTGACCAGGACTCAAATTAAAGTTGAAGGAGTCTTTACGATTAGCACTTGGAGAAAATGTGCTATGTTAATAACAGATTGCAGTTCTCTGGATAAAATAATGTTACTATTTTATTAGTTTTGTACAAATTTGTACAAATACATATATACTGCAAATGTCATTTCTAAATTCAGAGAATGAGATTGGCTAAAATGAATTAGTGAGCAAATAAATTAGTTGCCAGCTAACCAGCAGAGGGCATAAATACATGACAAAAACTTTTTTTTATTTATTCTCAATTCTGTACAATTGTCTCTATTTATGCTTTGAAGCATCCCTAATCTCAATGAACTGCCATAGACAAATGTAAAAAGTTGATATTGAAGCCTTCAATTTATGGAACCAATACTGTGGTAAATACACCATGAAACTTGCAACAGATTCAGATAATACTTTCAATCTGAAAAAGTAAATCATATGTCACAGTCATTGTCTGCTTTCCTTCACTGTTGTTCCAGACAAAATACATCAACTCACACATTCTTTTTCTCTTCTATCCTTTCACATTTTAGCCATCTGCTCACATGACCTATTCCTTTCCACCATTATGCTATTCTAACACCTTAAAGAAGACCTAGATAGAGGCTTTTGTATATAATAGAATGTTGAAGATTAGTCTGAAAGAGTTCATATGGTGGTCCATTCTCAATCCCTAAAATATGTCATGATAACTGAAACTAAAGTATTCTGTAAGTAAATTGAAGGAAGTTTAACTTTATTTCCAGCTAAATAATTAACACTTATATATTTTATTGCACAGTATTAAGTTTATATGTTCTGCACTTTACAAAAAGAAAGAAGAAGAAAATTAGCAAGAGGAAAAAAATATCATAGAAGACAAACTGAGAACAATACCTAATGCATAATTCTTTTATGGAGAATAAAAGAAATAAAAAGCTACCAGGATTATAACCATTGAAAATACATGTCATAACCAAATTGAAAAATACAATTTCAACATTTTGCTTGTCTGTTCTAATATTACAGTAGTATCTTTAATTTTGAGTTAATAAGTGAAAGATTATATTGACATTATTAATGAATCTTTAGTTCCTTATAAACGTTCTCTAACCAAATTTGTTTTATCACAAAAAAGCAAATCATAGTTGGAAATGGTAAGTATTTAGATAAGAAACCACAGGCTCCTAGCCTGTAACTACACTGGCAATTTAAAAAATCAAAACTTTCTTGTAAAAGACATTGACAAACTGCTTTCATATTATTGCAAAAGAAAAATATGGATATGCTATCAGGAATAAAATTAGAAACTATTGCCAGTATCTCAGTGTACCTGGAATGAGTCCAATAACCTTTAAATTGCAAATTAATTGTAGAAAATACTGATGTTTAGTTTGTCTTATAGACAATGGTTTACTCCATTGTTTGTGCTCTCTGCTCCCAAATATTTGAATGCCTAAGTTTTTCTTATGATTCATTTGAGTCCA